CAAGTTAACATATCTACAGCTCAGCTGGATCTTAAAAAGATTATTAGTGTAAAACTTTGAAAATAAATGATTCAGACTTTACTTCCAATGAAGACAGAATAGCAGGGAGTAGATAAACCCTCTCATCTGAACTACTGAAAACCGGGCAGAATCTGTGAAACAACATTTAAGGGAGAAGAACAAAGAAGGTGACCCCACAGTTGCCCTGTTTACTGTTTAGAGAAATTTTCCAGACCACAAAGTAGGGAAAGGAATCTTGGGATCTCCAAGGTAAGGAGATACCAACTAAAATATTCTCTTTTGTATATACAATCATATGCTTTTCTAATTTGTCATTTTCCAATTATTTCACTCTTACTTTTTTATCAGACATCTCCATCTTTCTCGGTTTATTACTAACACACATTGAACTAGGAAACATAAGCTTTGTTACAATCACTGGACTTCTAATAACTAATTAAAATATGAAATTACCTAAAAGCATAGTTAACAGAAGCATAAAGCCATGAAATATAGCACCCACTTTAAAAAAAAAAATTATTCACAGCTTTATTACCTAATGTTGCTTGAAATCACCTATACATTTTTTTTTTTTTAAGATTTTATTTATTTGACAGAGAGAGCACAAGCAGAGGGAGAGAGAGGGAGAAGCAGGTTCCCTGCTGAGCAAGGAGCCCGATGTGGGACTCAATCCCAGAACTCTGGGATCATGACCTGGGCCCAAGGCAGCTGCTTAACCGACTGAGCCACCCAGGCGTCCCTACATAAGTTTTTTTTTAAATGAAAAATTCACAGAAAATAAGTGAATAGTAATCTCCAAGCATGTGAGTTAAATAACTCAAATTACAACCTTGGAGGAAACAAGTAAGTCCCACATTTTCAGTTTGAACCAAAAACCCAAGGCAATCCCACCATCTTGTGGTAACACCTTGATTTTAAGTCTTCTTTAAATTGGTTTTAACAAGTAGAAAACTAAGTATTTTTAATGTATATAATTACAAAATGTGACTATAAAAATGGGTTAAATAGGTGATGGGGATTAAAGAATGCACTTGCGCTGATGAGTACTGGGTGCAATATGGAAGTGTTGAATCATTAAATTCTATACCTGAAACTAATATTAAAACTTTTTAAACTTTAAAAAATAAAAATAAGTTTAAACAATAAAATAAAATAAAATTTCAATTACAACTAAATAAGATTTTTTTTTTTTTTTGAGAGAAAGAGAGAATGCAAGCAGGGGTGGGGGGTGGGCAGGGCAGAGGGAGAGAAGGAATCTCAAGCAGGCTTCACAGTCAGTGTGGAGTCTGAAGCAGGGCTTGATCTCACAACCCTGAAATCATGACCTGAGCTGAAATCAAGAGTCAGCTGCTTAACCGACTGAGCCACCTGGGCGCTCCCAAAATATTATTTTTGTGTGCATATATATATGTCATATATGTATGTATGCGTTATGTAAGTATGTGTATATATATTCACACACACACAATGATATCTTACCTTCTAGGTCTTCACTGAATTCAGTTCCCCCCCCCCAATCTTCTAATTCAAGGTACTGATTCTTTTCCCTGCAGTTTCAGTTCTTTTATTTAACTGCTCTAACACCATTTGATATTTTGTACTAGCAGTACTTGAATTTGTCACCTCTTTTTTTTACCTTTTGTCAGCTTATTTTCAGTCTTATATTATTATCTTCTTAATTCATTCTAATTTCTTTCATAATTTTTCCCCCCATGAAGTGTGCTTGCTCTCTAAATGTTCTTCTTTATCTTAGGTTAAATCATGTACAAAAGGGGTGCCTGGGTGGCTCAATTGCTTAAGCATCTGCCTTCAGCTCAGGTCATGATCCCAGAGTCCTGGGATTGAGCCCCACATCAGGGTCCCTGCTCAGCAGAAAACCTGCTTCTCCCTCTGCCTCTCACCCCACTTATGCTCTCTCTTGCTCACTCTCTCAAAAAAATAAATAAATAAATAAAATCTTTAAAAAAGTCACATACAAAAACATGATCTCCAAGATCTTTTGGTGTCTTGTAAGATTTTTGTAATAGGTCTTTCTGTTTGATGCTGTCTTAAATTCACCTTGTATTGTCTTTTTAGTAATAGTTTTAACAGGGCCCATGATCACCCAGTCAAAGAATGCATTACCCTTATTCCTTGTGAGCTAGATATGATCACATTACTAAGTTCAGGCCATAAGAACTTACAGTTCTCTTTCTCAAAGACGTGACGCTTGCTCTGGATTCTTTTCTCTACCCAGTTGGCTGGAAAATGTCAACGATTGAATAGATCTTCCTGCTTGTAGAGATGAAAGTCAGGTGCTGGTGCTAACAGCCATTTTGCTAGCCTGAGTCCTTGGATAAGCTCAAGAAGTGGCTACTTACCCATAATGACTCTGGAATGTCACATAAGAAAGAAAGAAACTTCTGTGTTGACATTTTGGGCTAGATCATGCTCTTTTTATGAGGGTTGTGCTGTGTGTTGTAGGTTGTTTAGTAGCTTCCTTAGCCATAGCTACAAGATGCTTATAGCACCTCTTGTTATCCCAGTTGTGATTAACAAAAATGTTTCCATTCTTTGGCAAATGCCTTCTACAAGGAAAACTTGTGTCTGGTGGAGACCACTAGTCTAGAAACTAACTAATGTAGAAATTGCTACCTGTAAGTGAGATGCTGCCTTAAAAAAAAAAAAAAAAACTCATAAAACATGGCATTCGCTTAGGTGTCATGTGGAAGGAAGTGAGTAAAGTAGCATGGAAGGCTGGAAGGTGCTGATCATTTTCTACTGTGGCATTTGGTAAAACTGCTGCTTGTGATACTGTAGTAGACAGAACACATTCCTACAGAGCCTAAAGCTACAGGAAAAGTGTTTAGAAAGATGCAGAATATCAGTATGTTTGGGTTGTTACATGCTGTTTTAAGCAAAATACCACAACAAAAAAAAAAGGGGGGAAATCCAGGAAATATTGGACAATCTCCTTGTTGCCCGAGACCTAAATTGGCTAATATACTGGGCAAGTGAGTTCTCTCAGGATTGGAAAAGCTAACCATCTTAATCTCGCAAACAGCAAAAGAAAGATTATCACAGTTTTACTCAAAGGCCTCCCATTTGGACTTCTCAGCCAAAAATATGAGGAGGCCACAGGCAAATAATCAAGTTATAGGTGTTGCCTTCCCAGTCCTGCCTACTTTTTTAGAGGGCCACGGGTCTTAAAATGAAGAAAAGGAAAGTAAGCCCAGCAAAGCCACCAATTAATTAAAAGCAAGAGTCAGAGGATGAAGAGACATCACTAGAAGACATTTTTGGGTGAGCTTCTTTTACACGGGAGATCTTGATTCTTCAGAAAGTTGAAAAGTCACTAGCCTGGGCTTCAAGGTTTTCAACTGTGTGATATATGAAGAAATCCTTGATTTCTTAACACTGCGCCAGCAGAGAGGAAGCCAAGAAAGCTGCGCAGTGGCCTAATGTAGCCCAACTCCCCAACATCTTTTTCGACAGATGGCATGGAAGATGAGGAAACAAGGAAAATTTCCTAGGTGACCAAACATGGGGGCCAAAAAAGGACAACTAATAAGAAACGTCCTCCCAGAGAACAAAACCAGTCTAACCACAGAAGTTCTTTCATTGTTGGGTCAGGGAGCTTTTGAAATTCTGAGCCAGCACCATTTATTTCATAATTGCAATGAACTAATGACTTTTTTAGGTCAGGGTTTTTAATTGCCGCTTTTCTATTTCTTTTCCACCATTGTATATTGAGTGCATAAAGGTGTCAGAGGTAGGAGAGAAATAAATGACTGCACTTTTCTGTTCACCGGACTGTTGGACTCCCCATTGGACCACATGGAAAGATTGTGCATCACCCAGAGATACCCAATTTTGAGTGGGATGCAGTAACTGGACAAGACATTTGATTGTACCTGTTGGAGAAAGGATGCTTTCTTTATGTAGGAAGGAAACATGGATACCTGCACATGGGTCCTAGGGGGGCCAGAGTGACAGTCTATCAGAAGCCATTACTATCCCCTCAGTATTTATCACCCCTCCACTTCCTTTTACTAATAGACTCGATTTTTAGTTGTGCATTTTTGCTCTTAACAGCATTGCCCTATGCCAGCTTTTCGTTCTACAGAACTAGACAGAATATTTTCCAATAAGTGTTTTAATTTCTTTTACATTTCTGAGTATTTTCTTATTCTATTTTCAAATATGGAGAAGTTTTTATATCTCTTTTTTATGACTATTTGCATACATATTTTTGTTTATCTCAAAATCCAGTTTTAAGACTTAGTAGTTGTTTTATCTATTTATTAAACAATATCTGCTCTAAAAATAAAATAATTACTTCTTTATTTAAAGCCTGGATTTAATTTGTAGCTCCCATTCTAACAGACACATATGTATATACTCTTGCATATTCACACACAGACATAATTCCTTTCTTGGGTTTAATTTCTTTCCTTTTTTTTAACTTCTTGAGTTTGATAAATACCTCTCATTTATCTTCTTCCTTATTTAGCAAGAAATTTCCTTTTAGCAGAGCTTTGTTACCCATGAATTCTTAAACGAAATTATTATTTTTCTTGATTTATTTGAGCACTTCTATTGTTTAAATGTTTGTTAGCTTCTACCCCACCCTTCCCCAACAACTTGGGTTTTGTCTTGTTTTCCATGTTTCAAGTAGTAGAACAATAGCAAAGCTGGAGTAAAATAAAAAAGAGAGAGATTAAGCTTCTTCAACTCACTTTAATATGCAATGTAAGAGTATATCCTTCCTATGAATCACAACAAGTTTAACTGAGATCTTGAAGAGAGCAGGCAAATGCATGACAGAACTAAAATGAGTTACATTGTTGTATTGATGATAAGAGTTCCTGATAACTGATCCTTTAGTCATTGCCTAGGCCTTGGTATAGGGGTAAAATATAACAAAAGTCAAGGTGCAGTGTAGAGCACTAAGTTGAATTAAAGCCTATGGACAGGAAATAGTGGAAAGGAAAAGTCAACTACAGGCTGCTGAGGGCTTCCACCCCAGGAAGGACTTTACCTTCCAGGAGTTCCAGACTGGCACCTCCTCCAGTGCTCACATGGCTGACTTTATCTTCAGTGTTCCATTTGGCACAGCAAGTAGCAGTGTCTCCACCTCCTATAATGGTGATACAGCCCCTGGAAGTGGCTTTCACAATTTCATCCATGAGGGCTTTTGTTCCCTTAGCAAAGGCATCCCATTCAAATACCCCTACAGGTCCATTCCACACAATTAGCTTGGCTTGGGCCACAACTTGAGCATTCCTCTTGTTGGTCTCAGGACCACAGTCCAAAGCCATCCAGCCAGCAGGTATGCCTGATGCTACAGTGGCTTGGCCAACCTTAGCATTCTCCTCAAACTTGTCAGCAGTGACAAAGTCGACAGGAAAGGTAATGTTCACACCATTCTTACTGGCTTTAGCCATGATATCTTTGACAATCTTGGCCCCTTCTTCATCAAAGAGGGATGCACCAATCTCCATGTTGTTGAGTACCTTAAGGAAGGTAAAAGCCATTCCACCACCAATTATCATCTCATTGACTTTGTCCAGCATATTTTGGATAAGTTGGATTTTGTCTGCCACTTTGGCCCCACCAAGTATAGCCAGAAAGGGTCTCTCTGGGTTTTCCAAGGCTTTGGCAAAGTAGTCCAGCTCTTTTTTCATCAGGAACCCAGATGCTTTCTGGGGCAGATTCACTCCCACCATAGAACTGTGGGCCCGGTGAGCAGTGCCAAAAGCATCATTGACATAGACATCCCCTAGTTTGGAGAGTGATGCTCGGAAGGCTTCTATTTTATCTGGCTGAGCTTTAAGCTTATTTCCAGAAGGATCCTGGCCTTTTCCTTCTTCCTCCACATGAAAGCGTAGGTTCTCCAGTAGGATAACTGAACCAGCAGCCGGGTTGGCACAGGCTTTCTCCACTTCTGGGCCCACACAGTCCTTTAGAAACAGAACATCCTTGCCCAGTAAGGATTTGAGCTCAGCAGCAACAGGCTCTAATGAGTATTTATCTGGCATGGGAACACCATCAGGTCGACCCAGATGACTCATAAGAACTACTGACCTGGCTCCATTATCTAGACAGTACTTGATGCTTGGGATGGAAGCTTTGATTCTCTGGTTATTTGTAATCTGGCTCTTCTTCATGGGAACATTAAAGTCTACTCTCATGATGACTCGCTTCCCTTTAACATCCAGCTTGTCCAAAGTTAACTTCTTAGAAAGAGACATCTCGACAATACAAAGAGAAGCTGACAGCTAGATCCCAATGCTGAAGAATCACTTTACTGTTGCTCGCACGTTGGATAGGTGGTACTTTCCAACGCCTTTCCCCTTGGCCCGCCCCCTTCTTCTCATCACTGTCTTCCATAGGGCAGACATGATTGCACGGGGGAAAAGGAAATCTGGCTCTGTGATTGGCTAATGGTCTTGTCAATCTGGATTTGGAATGTGTTGCCCGCGCACATTCAAACTGCCAGTGCTGAGCGTGAACCCGGGGTAGTGGCACCTGGCTTGGAGTGAGAGCTGGGCAAGTGAAGAAACCCTGGAATAAGAATGTTGAGGGCAGGGGCACCTGGGTGGCTCAGTCGTTAAGCGTCTGCCTTCAGCTCAGGTCATGATCCCAGGGTCCCGGGATCGAGTCCCACATCGGGCTCCTTGCTCAGCGGGAAGCCTGCTTCTCCCTCTCCCCCTCCCCCTGCTTGTGTTCCTGCTCTCGCGGTCTCTCTCTGTCAAATAAATAAAATCTTAAAAAAAAAGAAAGAATGTTGAGGGCAAAGGCTCCTGCAGATTCTCTTTTTCCACCTCTCTTTTGGCACTTTCTCTTATTCTTAAAACAAAATGAAGCAAAATAAAACAAAAACCCTCAGCCAGGTAAAATCTTAATTATATTGAGATATAAAAACTGTAGTACCAAATAAAGAGGTGATTTGTAAAAATGGTTCTATGACTCCTTGTTTATTCGAGGCATCGTAGTATGCTTCTGTTTTTATCTTTATAAATATTTCTGGGCGCCTGGGTGGCTCAAATGGTTAAGCGTCTGCCTTTGGCTCAGGTCATGATCCCAGGATCCTGGGATCGAGTCCCACATCGGGCTCCCAGCTCAGCGGGGAGCCTGCTTCTCCCTCTGACCCTCTGATCCTCTCCCCTCTCATGCTGTTTCTCTCTCGCTCGCCCTCTAAAAAATAAATAAAATCTTTAAAAAAAAATATTTCTGTTAACAACATAGCTTGGTGTCAGCCTTTGGCTTTAGATATATTCTAGGGTAAGCGGGAATGACCTGTTTTTATGACTTTATTTTATTCTCAGACCACTGAGAAATTAGAAAATGCTTACAGAAGAAAGAAAATACAAACAAATAATACAATTAAATTTATGGGACACAAACAAAGGTAATGTTAAAGAGGAAATTTCTTGCTCTAATGCTTAAGTTAAATAAGACTTCAAATTAACAACCTAACTTAAGGGACTAGAAAAAAGAAAAACAAACTAAATTCAAAGGTTGCAGAAGAAAGGAAATAATAAAGATTAGGACAGTGGTAAATGAAATTGAAAATAGAAAAACAATAGACAAAATAAAAAAAAAACAAAAATTTTGTTCTTTGAAAAGATCAACAAAATTGACAAACCTCTATCTAAATGGACTAAGAAAAAAAAAAGACTCAAATTACTAAGATAAGAAATGAGTGAGGACATTACTATTTATTTTATAGAAAGAACAATGATTATAAGAGAGTACTATAAATAATTTCATAGCAAAAAATCAGATATACTAGGTGAAATGAACAAATTCCTAGAAACACAAACCCTACCAAGACAGAATCATGAAGAAATAAAAAAAAAATAGATTTATAACTAGTAAGGTGTTAGAATCAGTAATCAAAAATTTCCTGATAAAGAAAAGCCCTGGACCTGATGGCTTCACTGGTGAATTCTACCAAACATTTACAAGACAACTAATACCAATTCTTCTCTAACTTAAAAAAAAAATGAAGAGAAGGGAGCACTTTCTAATTCATTCTATGATGTCAGGATTACTCTGATACCAAAACCAGACAAAGGCAATTTAAGAAAAGAAAACTGCAGATCAATATTTCTTATGAACATTGAAGCAAAAATCCTCAACCAAATACTCGCAAACAGAATTCAGCAGCATATTAAAAGAATTATACACACCATGACCAAATGGGATTTATTCCTGGAACACAAGGATGGTTCAATATATGAAAATCAATCAATGTAATACACCACATTAACAGAAAGAGGGAAAAGAAAACACATGATTATCTCAGTTGATGCAGAAAAAGCATTTGACAAAATTCATCTCCCTTTCATGATAAAAACATTCAACAAACTAGGAATAGAAAGAAAACCACCTGAACATAATAAAAGTGAAATGTGAAAAATTCACAGTGTGGCTCAGTCGTTAAGCGTCTGCCTTGGGCTCAGGTCATGATCCCAGGGTGCTGGGATCGAGTCCCACATCTGGCTGCCTGCTTATCGGGAAGCCTGCTTCTCCCTCTCCCACTCCCCCTGCTTGTGTTCCTGCTCTCGCTATCTCTCTCTCTCTGTCAAATAAATAAATAAAATTAAAAAATAAAAATTCACAGCAAACATCATACTCAATAATGAAAGACTGAATGCTTTTTCTCTAATATCTGATATAACATTTTATTAAGTATTTTACTGGAAGTTCTAGCTAGAGAAATTAGACAATAAAAAGAAATAAAAGTTATCTAAATTGGAAAGGAAAAAGTATCATTCTCTCTGTTTACAGAGGATATCATTCTGATGCAGAAAACCCTAAATATTGCACCAAAAAAACCATTAGAACAAAAAAATGAATTCAGCAAAGTAGCAGGATATAAAGTCAACACTCAAAAATCTGTTGCATTTTTATACACTAATGATAAACAATCAGAAAAGGAAATTGCAAAATAATTGCATTTATAATAGCATCAATAAGATAAAACACTTGAGAATTAACTTAACCAAAGAAGTAAAAGACTTGTACAAAAAAAAAAAAAATACAAAACATTGCTGAAAGAAATTTAAAAAGACTTAAATAAATGTAAATGGAAACACATTATGTGTTCTTAGTTTAGAAATTCTAATATTAAAATGTCAGTGCTACCCAAAGTTATCTACAGATTCAAAACAATCCCTATAAAAATGCCAAGGATGTTTTTGCAGAAATGGAAAAACTTGTCCTCAAATTCATATGGAATTGCAAGGGACCCTAGATAGCCAAAACAATTTTTGAAAAGAATGAAGCTGTAGGAATTGCACTTCCTTTCAAACTTACCACAAAGCTATAGTTATATAAACACTGTGATACTGGCATAAAGACAGACATATAGGCCAACGGATTAGGATAGAGATCCCAGAAATAAACCCTTACATGTATGATCAAATAATTTTTGACGAGAGTATCAAGACCATTAAATGTGGAAAAGACAATCTTTCAATAAATATGCTGAGAAAATTGAATATCCACATGCAAGAGAATCAAGTTAGACCCTTATCTAACACTGTATACAAAAAAAAATACCTCAAAATGGGTCAAAGGCCTAAATGCAAAATTTAAAGCTATAAAACTCTTAGAAGAAAACACAGGGGCAAAAGTATCATGATACTAAATTGGCAATAATTTCTTGGATCTGACACCAAAGTCATAGACAAAAAAGGAAGAAAAATAAACTAGACTTCACGAAAATTAAAGAAGTTTGTTCATCAAAAAACACTACCACACAGTAACACAGTAAAAATGTAACCCACAAAATAGACAGTATTTGCAAATCAAGTATCTGATAAGAGGTAAATATCCAGAATATACATAGAACTCCTAAAACTCAACAACAAAAAAACAACCTTATAAAAATTGTCAAAGACTTGAATACCCACTTTGTCAATAAGCACCTAAAGAGATGCTCAACATCACTAATCATTAGGGAAATATACATTAAAACTACAATGAAGTGCCACTTTAGCCCATTAGGAGAGCAACTATCAAAGGAAGAAAGGAAAAAAGGAAAAAGGAAGGAAGGAAGGAGGGAAGGAGGGAAGGAAGGAAGGAAGGAAAGAAGGGGGAGAGGCAAGGAGGGAGAAATGTTGGCAACAGTGTAGAGAAAATGGAACTTTTGCACACTGTTGGTGGGAATACAAAATGACACACCCCCTGCAGAAAACAGTGTGGTGATTCTTCTAAAAATTAAACATACAATTTCTATGTGATCCAGCAATTCTTCTTCTGGGTATATATCCAAGATAATTGAAAATAAGATCTCAAAGAGATATTTGTACATCTATTTTCATAGTAGCATTATTCACAATAGTTAAAATATGGAAGCAACCTAAGTGTCCATTGATAGGTAAATGAATAAATTAAATGTGGTATGTACATATAATGAAATAAAAAGGAAGGGAATTCTGACACATGCTACAACATGAATGAAACTTGAGGACATTCTGCTAAGTGAAAAAGGTGAGTCACAGAAAGACAAATACTGTATAGTTCCACTCCCCTGAGGTACCTGGTGTTGTCAGAATCATATAGAAAGTAGAATGGTGATGGCCAAAGACTGAAAGAAGAGATGGATGGGTAGTTATTGTTTACTGGGTACAGAATTTCAGTTTTACAAGATGAAAAGAAGTCTGGAGATGGATGGTGGTGGTTGTACAACATGATGGATGTATTTTAATATCACTTGAACTGTACAGTTAAAAATGGTTAAGATGGCAAATTGACACTATCTGTAATTTGCCATAAAAATTAGGAAAAAATAGGAGGAGGAGCAAGATGGTGGAGGAGTAGGAGACCTAAATTTCGTCTGGTCCCAGGAATCAAACCATTCTGGTCCCAGGGATCAAACCATTCTGAACACCTATGAACCCACAGGAGATTGAAGAAAAGAATAGCAGCAACTCTCTGGACAGAGAACCCCCCTCAAAATCAGTAAAAAGAGGTCAACACCCTGACATCTAATAGTAAAACTTACAAGTCTCAGAGACAAAGAGAAAATCCTGAAAGCAGCTCGGGACAAGAGGTCTGTAACCTACAATGGTAGAAACATTAGATTGGCAACAGACCTATCCACAGAGACCTGGCAGGCCAGAAAGGACAGGTACGATATATTCAGAGCACTAAATGAGAAAAATATGCAGCCAAGAATACTATATCCAGCTAGGCTGTCATTGAAAATAGAAGGAGAGATAAAAAGCTTCCAGGACAA